ATGATTGGGATTCAATACGAGTTGGCTGCTATAAACAGGGAGGGAAGACATCGAAACAACCCCCTCCAATTCAACATACAAATTGCTCTGCGCATTCTCTCGCTCTACGCGAAACCTCTCAACAACCTTGAGATTTTTGTTTTCTTTTATTCGCCAAAACACCTTCAGTTTGGATAAACAGCATTGTGGAGGCAACCGGTGAACATCTTCAGTTTGGATAAACAGCATTGTTGCCGTAGAATCAACCGACCGTGAAACACCTTCAGTTTGGATAAACAGCACTGCGACAGAGCCGACTGGTTATCTATCCAAGTCTCGGTCGAGAAGGATTTTTGAATCCTGATCGGCAAAGGTCATTTCGTTAGCTTTCTCGGTGAAACGAGGTGTTGGAAGTTATTGTACTCGGCACATTGAATGCCGAGTCATTTATGATTGGTTATTCGCAAGTAGGTTTTAGAGTTCGGCATTCTAACGGCCGAACCACTTTCACAATCAAGACACAATTATTTTAAGCATTTGTGCCCTTACACTTTGGTGTCGATTCGGCATGCTTATACTCTCACGAATATAATCACCGTGACCGAATCCGGCGCCGACGATTATTAAACTTCGTAGAACTAGCAACCTTGTCTTCAGGCTCTAGAACCCGAAGGCCGAGAGTGTTCTTTCCTCGGCCGTAATCGCAAGATTCAAAAGTCAGCAGCATACCCAACGCAACATCAACAAATATTACTCCTCGGCCGAGCTCGGCCGACGAGTTGGCATGCCCCACATACAACCAAATGACGTAGTTAGCTTATTAATTACTCAGCTTGCGCCATGTAGGCTCGGTAGTTTTTAGGGTCAATAAATGGCTGGCCACAACCATATAAATAGTTCCCATGTCTCCCAAAAGTCAAATTCCACTCTTTTACAAAATTCTCCAAATTTCTCTAAGCACTTTTCCCTCAAATTCAAACTTTGGCATCAGAAGTTCTTCGACCAAGCCCCCCCTACCCCAATTCATCGTGGGCGCATGAGGCTCTTGGCCTTGACCTAAGATGTTAATTGTTTTGCAGGTGCATTTTCGTCCAAGAAGAAGATGGCGGAAATTTGCATTCACACTTAAGTGTAACTAAGCTAGTTTCTTCTATTTGTGTAGGATTTCAAAAAAGAAAAAGAATATGTAGAATAAAAATTAATATTACGTAAGCAGTTTGAGGTTTAGTTTGTAAGTGGCAAAACTCAAGAAACAAACCGGTCTAGGCCAAAATTGATTATTTCGGATCTATTTGCCTAAAACCAAGCATAAACAAATGGAATATTTCGACATTTGAGAAGAGAGCACATCATTTACCAATAAAAAAACACAGAATTAATGAGTTATTTTTTTCTTTCTTATTTTCAATATTTACGGCAAAGAACAATAGATTTGAACTAGATAAATGCTAAGGGGACTCACTAACCAATGGAACTATCCATGGATTTTCCGTCACTTCATATAAAATCTCACTTTTGTGAGAGTCTCCTTATCATTTCTCTTTAAACTAAAACACACAATGAGTATCAAACTATTTGACGTCTCTAAAAGTACTGTATTTGAGAAGAGAGCACATCATTCACAAAACAAAAACACGAAATGAGTTTTTTCTTCTTCTTATTTTCAATATTTACGGCAAGAACTATAGATTTGAACTAGATAAATGCTTAGGGGACTCTCTAAACAATGGAACTATCCATGGACTCTCTGCTATTTCACGTAAAATCCCCCTTTTGAGAGAGTCTCCTTATTATTTTTCTTGGAACTAAAACACACAATGAGCCAGATAAAGTGGATGAAAGTAGCATATGAGAATAAAATAAACTTCCCCATGGGTTTCTTCACAGGCAATCATTGTGCAAGAAATTGGCGAGTTAGAGACAAAATTTTATAGATTGATGAATCTAGCTAGGCCTGCATAAACCAGACCCATTAAGATCATTACAATTCCATCCTCCATCACAAGTATTCCTGTTCGGGGCAGGAATTCCCGTCGGGGGTGTTTCCTGGCCGACGAGCACACAGCTCCCCTGGAGGTTCGGCGTCGGTTGAGGACTACTGTCGGGCTTCTGCTTTCCTGTCGGGCTTTGTCGGGCAAGTCTCGTCGGGCAAGACTCGTCGGGCGAAACTCTTCGGGCAAGGCTGAAAGAGAAGGACAGCGTTAACTTTGAGAGGGTGCCTTTGTGGGGCCTTAGGTGTAGGCCTTGAGGCTCACAATCAAGGTTAACATTTTGGTGCTCAGGCGTGCCACTGCCATCTTCATTATGGCAGATGTCGAATAGATGTCAAGTTTTAGTTGTGAATATGCATATGCCCGAGAAACCGTGTTAGATATAACAGGTGCCTTTGTGGGGCCTTAGGTATAGGCCTTGAGGCTTCCTGTCAAACTAAACCAGTGCTTGAGCATATTTATTTGGTCTTTATGGTTGTCGGGGTCTTATAACTATTATATTTCTGATTATCCGAGCCTGAGAGGTAGAGCGAACCCAAATAGGTGCCTTTCTGGGGCCTTAGGTGTAGGCCTTGAGGCTTCCCATTAGAATCCGTTCTTATACTCAAACCATCTAGACCGCAGAATAGAATAAATCCAAATAAGTGCCTTTGTGGGGCCTTAGGTATAGGCCTTGAGGCTTCCTATCAGAATCCATTCTATACTTAAGCGTTCTATAATAATCATGATATAATAGAAATAAAACCAAGAGGTTGGTCGATTACTTGCGCCCCAAGTAACTTCGGACTTCTCGTTTATCAAGGATTGTCGTGGATGGGTTAAGTCCACATAAAGTTCTTTTTTATGCCTTGAGGCCAAGGACTTTTAAACTAATCAGATTTACATGCCTGCGGGCTTAGGACTTGGATCTGATTTAAGCATTGAAGATATATTTAAATCGGATCCAAGTATTGAGAAAGCTTTGTCATCGTGATTTTGCTAGAAACGACTTGCATATAACTAAAAATATACAACATATTGCTAGACTTTAAAGAAAGAGAAGACAAAGACAGAGCAAAGCAGGTCGGGCAAGATTAAACCTTATCAATTAAGGCTGATCGTCTTGCAGGTCCCTATCTTTGTGGTTCTATCAAAGGTCTGAAAGCTTAGAGGGGGAGAGGGGAAAGGAGAATACAAAGGGTGAATCGATACTACAACTTGTTCGAACAAGGTAGCAGAGCTATTACAGGGGTTGGGAGAAAAGATTATCCCGCGGGGGATGAAGGCTTGGGCTGACTACAGCTTCGTTTTGAAAGGCAAATCTGGCTTTTTGAGCAGAGTTTGTGCTTTTGTTTGTTTGATTGAGTGTCTTTATTCCTGTCTTCTCTTCCTCCTTTTATAGACGACTCGGTTTGGCTCCTGTAGCGACAGCTTTGCCCGAATGCGGTCTGAGGGTGATGACTCATCAGTTTTATTAAATGTAATGCCATCATAAAGTACTTTATGGGCTGTGCAGTCTGATCAGTCTACACCACTTGGTCCTTGGGTAGGTAGGCAAGTGGCCTTTATGAATTGTATCAAGTCAGAAAAGGTCATTTCCTGCTTTCCCAAGTTTCGGCTGGGCTTTGATCTTCTATTCCTCCAGGCCTCCTTTTGGGCCTACTCCATCCTTGGGCCAAAAATCAAGTTTTAATCCAAACAATTCCACACGTTGGAGCATGTACGGCCCAAACCGTGAACACTTCGGAAAGGAAACTCCCTCCGTTCATATTAGATAGACAATTTGAATCGTTAAAATACATTACGTAATAGGTTAGGTCTCATAAAAATGTGTCAAAAGTTGTCTAAAAAAGTAATGTTACGAATCTATTCTCTCCTCAAGAAAAATTGTTCTGAAATAAATTGCAAATTAGTTACCCATACATACCCTCAAACCTATCCTCCCGACAACACAAAATGATTAATGACCATGGTATCTCATCGCTTTTTTTTTTTTTTTTTTTTTTTTTTTTGTTAAAAAGGCAAAGTTCATTGCCAACAGAAACAAAATTTACATAGCATAGGCCCCAAACAAATATACAAAGAAAACGTGGGCCTGCAAAACAAAACACCAAGACCCAACCAAAGATTATGCTCACAAACGAAAACAAACCAAAAGAAAGAGAAAACCGTAGCCTTTTGCAACAACAGCCGTCGCAACACCTTCCGATAAACAACGCCTCAGAGATGGAAGGAAGGAAGACTCCATCATCCAGCAAAGAAACCCTCACCGATTGCAGCCACCAAGTTGAAAAAATCAAAGAAGTCAGTGGGAAACCCACTTGCGACACTGCCAACGAAGGTAGATCAAGAGAAGGAGGTGGTGCGAGCACCCGAGCCGGTGTGAACACCGGAACTCTACACACCTCGATGTTCCGCAACAGGTCGCGGTTAAAAGTGATTGCAAACCGGATTAGGTATAATATTGATGGAGGATGGAGCCAAATCATAAAAGATGGAGAAGGATGGAGAAGGGCCTTGAAGATGGAGTGATAGCAGGGATTAAAGAAAAGATAGGATTGGTTCTGAGGACATAGGTGAGCAGGACCAATGGCTTGTGGGGTGGACAGAACACACTGGTGGGAAAGGATAACTGTAGCACAAGGAGAGGAAGAGAACAACAAAAAGCAGAAATGAAGGACCAAACCGACCTTCTTAGCCATAGCTAAGGCCCGCGGCTGAACAAACCAACCTGAACTGGAGACCCTCACACAAGTTGTGAGAAAAAACTCTCAGGGAGAGAGAGGAGCTCTCAAAGAGAGAGAAATGTGAAACGTAAATACAGACAAAGCTTTTTCCCGTCGCAAATTTTGGACTTGAAGAATTCCCTAGTTACTTTATGCAACCAATTTGCAAAAACACACACAAACAAATGTAATTCGATAAGTAAACCAATTCTACAATTCGCACGTCAACATGAACAACAGACTCATACAAACAAGCATGTAACTTACATCAACTTCTGTAGTTTAAGTAAATAGAGTAACTTGCAGGATATTACGGCAATGTGTCTTGCGCGGCTGCAAAATATTTTATAAATATCGAAAGAAAATAAGGACTTGCAAATCAAACCATGTCCAAATGTCAATAGAACCAAAACAGTCAAACTGATTGTAGTGCATATCACTCGTACAGACATATCAACAGTAACACAGTATGAAACTTTTAGGGTTCATCAACGTCAATCAAAACTGATAATTTTTATGATACTTTAATGAAATGAGCTTCATTGTTAAAGAGGTTCATATATAATCTGCTGTAACAGAAGAAAAGTTCGAAAACAAGTTTCTATGGGTCAACTGTTGTCACCTGTTGCCATTCCCCATCTACTGCTTCCTTCCATAATGTCACGCTGTTGTTCCCATCAGCCACAGCCAATATGTTTCCAGTCAGCGACCATGAGACCCTCCAAACAGGTGCATTGAAATCATGCAGCACCTTACCTTCCCATTGATCCCCATCCTTGCCCACGGTCCATATAATCACTTTACCATCCTGTGAGGCACTGGCAATGGTTGATTTTGGTAGTCCCAAGTTGGGTGCCCAAGCAACATCCCTGACCCAATCAACATGCATATGAAGAGCCGGAAAGCAGTCCAGCTTCCAAATGCCATTACCAAGCTTCCACACTTTTACAGTGTTATCACAACCACCAGAACACAGCTTCTGGACAGGGTCAAGCAGACCAGAACCAACAAGAGCACCGGGGGCTGTTGAGGGAGCCCAAGAAACAGAGGTGACACCAACTGGGTGAGCTTGATCGATCCTCGAGGTATCCCAGCCACCATCAGACCTTGCAGTGAAAACTGAGATGTTCCCATCAGAAGAACCACATGCCAAACAAAGACCGAGTTCATGAGGAGCCCAAGCAATTGAGTTCACAGAGGATTTGTGATCATCAAAAACATGAGCTTGGGTCCACTCATTCTGATTACCTTCCTTCCACAGTATGACACGCCCATCATAAGAACAGGAAGCAAGTAAAGACCCGAATTTTGGATGAGCCCAAGCAACCTGCCAAACTGGTCCCTGGTGACCAGTCAGGGTTGCTAGATGCTGAGAGGATGAATTGCTCACCCCAATTATCTTAATTGTGTTGTCGGATGAAGCTGTGGCGAGGCGCTTACCATAGTAATCCATGACCACATCATGGACTGTGTCCTGGTGGCCAGTCTCAACCTTTTGTGCAGGCATTTCTCTACTCCTATGTTAATGTTTCAACAATTTGATATCAATAAGGTCGCCAAAAATTCAATCAAAACTAATTCTAATCTTATAAATTCCAATGGGTCCCTCCAGAAAATCCCAAATCCTACAATTCTCTTTTTCTCAAAAACCCATCTGTTTGGTTGCTGAGAAAATTCAATAAAACATATACATCACAATGTAGAAAGAAGCAATGATGTTTTCGTATTTCAAACATTAACATTAACGATATCAGAGCAAAAGCAACCAAACAGAACAATTAACCAAATTATGTACTCAATATAATCAGCAAATTTCAATGAGATCTCCTAAAAGGAATATCACACTTCTGCTAAAATACTATGAAATGGATTGGGAATTTGGGACTAAAAAAATTTACAAACCCTAATCGATTTGAGCTAATATCAAACGCAGAAATTGATCAAATTCAATATGTTACGGATTTAATACAACGATCTTACAAAAAAACAAAACACCCAATCCAAAATTCTACAAGAAATGCAGTAACAGTGAAGAAAAAAAGGGATCTAACCAGGGAAGCAAAGATTGGGATCGAAAGGACGTAGTTTCAGGACGAAGTGGATAGCGAATTGCTCTGCTGCTGTGAAACCAAGAAACTCGCATAGGCACAAGACTTCCTCTGTGATTTCAGTTTCCATACGTTCCTACGCTTTTGCTTATGAACAAGTGGGCCTTGATATTCGGCCCATTATTATTCCCAATAAGCCCAGTCGGTGGAGAAGAGCAGCCCATTGGGCTTGAGAGACAGACTTCAAAAACACGCAAGGTGACATGAGTGCGCGGGTGTGCCACGGTCCCACGACATGGCCGCGCCCCACCCTGAATCAGAATCCATCATTGCGTTTCGTCGCCACGTCGTCGTTTCGTTTCTTGATGTCTTGCACCCTTTGTGGGGCCCACCGTCTCCTTGTCAGGTCATGCCTTGTCCCCTCTCGCTCCCTCTGAGCCCACGTCCAGCCTACCAAATTCATAAGGCCCCTCTGCAGTTCCTGCTCTTCCCACAAAACACTTTTAAAATAAAATATAAAAATAAATTAAGAAAATGTAAAATATTACTATTTGGTAATTGCCTTCAAGTGCTCGTTATGTAAATATATGTATACCCATTTTGTTGGGATGATTGAATTTTATATTTAAATTAATAAAAAATTATTTAAACAATTACCTAACTAGCTATATAATTTACAAAATATAATATTGAAACATGATTTTTATAGCATTTTCCTAATGGAAACTAGCAGATGCACACATACTGTGTGTAAACAATTTCATTTCATTTTGTTTTTTATTATGAAGCGGAATTAGTTTTTAAATTTTATTTTTAAAATAAATCTGTTAATGAAAACTGGGATAATGGTGAGTGGTTTCTTCCAATGTGGGAATACTTTTTATTTTATTTTATTTTATTTTTATTTTAAAATAAGGCATGTTATACTAACCTAACTGTGAGGTTACTGTAAAAAATAACAAAATTTATGTTCATTTAATTACTAAATTGCCCATATCTTTTATTTGAATTCAACTTTGGTGAAGGGTTAAAATGATAATTTTCAAAAATTTTGGTTGACAACCAGAATTTTATTAATGGGTAGTGTAGATATGCATACATATCCGAAAACAAAAAAAAATTAACAATGTATGGAATACAATACTCTTTTTTTTTTCTTTTTTTTTTTCGGGGAGAAGGGAATACAATACTTTACCGGGACGTAGATTTGTAGTTTTGTCCAATAATGAAATGGTAACCCAATTAGTTAATTTTAATCTAATACTAGAACTCTTGATTTACTAATCATCGTCCATATTTACTAAAATTAAATTTTTACATTTTAGCTTGGATCCTAACTCTGGGAAAAAAAAATTAAATTGAAAAAACTTGACGTGCCTTTTTTGCATCAGTTACTTCAAAAAGTTTCGGCCATCTTTTTCTTTATAAATGGTAAAAGATATAAGTTAAATATCAACTATTAAATTCATGCGAGATTTGCTATGAACACAAGATACTCCAACTTTGGACACTTTATACGTCCTGAAAAAACATACTTGGAGAAAAACATATTATGTTTATGAAAGAAATAATCAATAATACTTATTTAATGCGTACAAATGTTTGCCTATTTTAATCCAAACATTGAAAAAAATGTTCATTAGAGTTTCTATAAATTTTTTAGAAACACTACGAAGATTAGTTGTTCAATATACCCTCTTATTAAGTAAACATGCCATAAAAGCCTAGTTATTTTAACCTTCATTCTTTAACCTCTTACACAATAATGTTAAATTTGAAGTGTGTGATAGGAAAGAAAAGAAAAAAAAAACAGGAGTGAGAATGAGTATACATTTTTGTGGACCATGATTTTTCATGACCAGAATAAGACAGATCAGAATAAGAATACTTTAGAATTCTTGTTATAGACTCAACAGCTACGATCAGATTGAGCTACACAAACGGATCAGCGATGCCAGTATTATCATGTGTTCTAAAAAAGTAGACAAACTTTGCTAAGATTAACTATTCTTACTCTGTAAGTCACAAAAACTTGATCCGATTAGGGATCATATAAGTTTCCTCTATTCTTTGAGATTCATACAATCTAGGGATTGACGTGTGTTGTAAATAATTACACTATTAAAGAAAGCAATATCTATCTCTAAATATCCTTTCAGGAATCTTCCAATTTAAGACATATTCTATATTCTAAAAGATTTCTCTGCTTACTAGTATAAATACACCTACCTAGGAGTTCATCTTTGATATCACAATTAACGCATACTTTATTATGTTGCCCATTGCTTGAGTCTCATATGTTTCTTATTAACTTGATCATCGAAAGACCTTTGGCCGGTAACTCACCATTGCAGGTTGTCTTACGATCATTTGTTCTTTTACATGTATTCGAGGTTGTGCATCTCCTCCACATATGGGTAGTGCGCGAATTTGGTTCTAATAATTTTAGTCTTTTTTGTTAGAGAGAATTGACTTTGAAGGAAGAAATAGATGACAACTTGTTTATTTTGTCTAGATGTATTTTCCTTATGAGTAACCTTTAACTTAGATAAAATGTTAAAGTTGTTATCCATTGAGAGTGCCATTCACATATTCTTCTTATCATAATGTATACAAGATCTCTTCTTTAGAGATGTTCTCACCTCGTCCCTATTATTTTGTTCTTTGAGTAGTGCTAAAAACACAATCCTCCACTTCTCCAATAAACATGGGTTCACACATTTCATTTAATTTCTCACATTTTTTTTAATTTTCAATCATCGAATCAAATGAATTGAACAAAATCAAATAAAAAAAATTAACAAAAAAATGTATGATAAATAAAAATAATATGTGAATAGCACACTATATATATATATATATAAGTAAAATTGTAAAGTATCTTGTGATGTGAGGCCATATAATATCAACGAACCGCTACCAGTTTGGACTATTCTGTGACTGATTCTTATCCTAAGCCTAAGCCTAACCCTCCCTGGAGTAGCTGCCTGACTGACAAACACACAGAGACAGAGCCAAAAGATAAGGCCTCCTAACCCCTTATTGTCGAGAAATTTTTAGTTACGACAGAAACATAAATGATATGTCACGTGTTTTAATAAGATTGATAGGAAATTTTATGTTTTAAATTATTAATTTTTTAGCACACATACCTTACTATTTGTATAGTAACACATGATATACCATCCCATATACCGATTACACTGAAAAATCTTTCTTCGTTATCCCTACAAACACCTTACATCACCACCACACCCAACCAAACATCCAATCACCAATTTTTATTTTTCATCTCAAATGTCACATGTCTTGTCAGCTGCGAGAGTATATTGTGCCTGCATTCTCTGCATTTTACTGCAATATATCGAAATATTTATTAATTTATAATTATAATTATTATCATGTAGTAGGATCTATTCCATAGCCTAGTGATGATGATGACGTAGCCTCCTAATAAATAACAAACAAAAACAAAAAAAAGGCTTAATTCCCCTAAGACCATCTCTAATCTCTGAGTTAAAACTTAAATAGTATTTCTCTTTATTTAAAAGTAAAAAGTTTTTAAATTCAAATCTTATGAATGACGAATTCAATACCAATTAAGTTGCCTATTGTATGGTTTAACTGAACTTCCCCTTTCTCTAATATAAAAATATCGATGTACTAATAAAAAAAAACTAAAACTTTTAGCTCATAAAATTTAGGTTTCAACTCAGAAATAGTTTTTCTCTCCCAACCCTTCTAAGTTAAATATTTAGCCCGATATTATTAAAGAATGAATTTAGGATAATTGATTTCTTAAAGTAACTTTAAAAAAAAATTATCTATACTATCCTAATTTAATTTTATGAATATTTTAACCTAAACATATTTAGATTCCGATAAATATTGAAAAATTACTAGATCGATATCATAAAATTCGTGGAACACTATGAAAGAATATGAAATACATAAATATTTTTAATTACTTTAACCGTTGGATTTAAATTTGGATAGTAAGATATTTTTTTTATCATTGGATTAGATTAAATTAGATCTTAACCGTTAGATTCAATTAATTCATAAATATAAAACTAAAAAATAATATACATATATAGTGGGCCAGCCCCACTAACTCAGGGGAATTCTGGACTAAATTTGTCCTATAAATGAGATTTGAGTTTTACTCCAAGAGTTAGAGTAAATCTAAGTAAGGTTGATTATATAAATTTTAGAATGCTAATGTGCTTAGCTCAGTTTTGTGTTACGTCTTTCATTAGATTAAAATAGTTCAAATTTTTTTCTAGAGTCTTTTTTCAAGTCTTCTTAGGTCTTCTTCTATCTCTTTAGTTTCTTGCTCCTATCTCGTAATCACATCTTTTAACTGGATCATTTGTAGGTCTTCATTTTACATCAAGGCATACTGACATTCCGATTAGAATATATGATTACGAGATAGAAATTCAAAGCAAAAAAAGTAGAGGAAAATCTAAAATTTTTTGAAAAGAGAAGCTAAAATATAAATAAGAAACTAAAAATAATATATTGGTGTGCGTCTGGTGTGTGAGTAATAATCTTTGGTTTCTTTTTCGGCATAGCTTTGAAATCGAGACGCATGCAAAAACCTAATGATGATGTCCTCTGCTCCTCCTGCTCTGCTCTCCTCACCACTCTCCCACGCGTTTTTAGTATTTCTACAGATTTTCTCATTTATTTATGAGAATTGTTATTAATATTTTAAAATTATCATTATATATTTTAAATTTTTTATATTTAAAAATAAAAAATATTTATGAGAAGTGTAGAATGAGATTTTTAAAATATAATTTATTTATTTATATTTTTCTGTTTCTCTGCAGTCTGCACTTCTACCTCTGCTTCCCAAAATTTGAACTTTCTCCTGCTCTAAAATTTCTTTGACCAAATTGCCATCATTCCATTATCCGTTAATAGTGGCTACCTGGAATCAAACTCGCTCACTCTCTTTTAATAGAAAGATCCTATAAAATCTTTTGGGCTGGTCGTCTGGACCATTCATTCAAATTGTATCTTCTAAAGATTTCATCCTATTTAATCCATAAATGTAATAACATGAATGACTCGTTATTTTGCATGCACTTCAATAAAGCAATCTTATTAGGTCTAATTGAATTATTAGTTTACATGATAATAGGGTAGTTGGATAATAACTCTGTAGTAAAAAATTAGAATTTAAACTCCTGTAGTAAGTGAACCTCACGTGCTAACAATTAATGAAGAATTGTCGGAACTTTTAATTATGGGTCTAAATCCGAGCAGCCTTCACAACAGGAGTTTAAGTTCTAATTTTTTTATTGCACGAGCTATTTTCTGATTACCCTAGTACTACGAAAACTATTAATCTAATTGAGCCTAATTATGTAATAACAAATTCTAAATAAGTCATTTTGCACTTCAAATTTTCTACATTTCAAAAGAGAATGCACTTATGAAATGTAAAGCCAATAACATCTCTTTTTTTGCCAGTAATTTTTTTAGAGATTTTAAATCCTATCTATTGACATGAGTTTGTAAATAAGTTATAACACTTGAAACCAACAATGCTATTACTCATTTCTATTTAGATGATTTGATAAATGAGATTGTACAAAGTTTATTACTTTCAACGCTTTTGGTGCATTAGAGGTGACTCTATAATTCTAAATATTTCTAAAGTTTCTCTAATAGAGTGATTTTGTTTGTAGTTTCTACTTCTTGACATGAACTTCATTTATATTTTTATGATTCGTTGATACATATTGTAAATTCAAATGGCATCACATTATCAAAAAGAAAAAAATGATAATAATAACCAATGCCGAATAATCTTTGTTTGTTACGAAAACTTCTCTGTACGCAACGTTTTTCTCATAGCAGATCACATAATTAACATGTAAAGAAACAGTTAAAAAAACATTATATACATTTGTAGTTTACACGAGCTCACATATAATAACATTTAAGAAAATCGATAGAAGAAACATGGTATACATTTTTTGTTGGCAAGAACTCATTGCACATGTAGTTGTATCACAATTGACACACTTTGGTCTTTTTATCTGTGGCTGGTCTGAAAATTCAAAGGCATTGACGAAAGGGTAATCATGCGATTTGAGTGGGAAAGTTGAGCAAAGGTTGTCTTTCTCAAACTTGTTCAAGGGTATTTTGGTTAAATCAAGAAGCATGAAAGAGAAACGAAAAAGATATTTGAAGGTAAATTTTATTTTTTCCTCCGTCTTCCTACACAGTGGAGCGAGCAAAGAACACCCTCTCTCTCTCTCTCTCTCTCTCTCTCTCTCTCTCTCCCCTCATCTGAGCCGAAAGTGACGAACCAATGAAAACAAACAACAGCAACAACAGCATCATCAGCAACAGCAAAACCGTATGAATCCGAAAGCAAAACCAAGAAAAGCAAACCAAAACCAGAAACAGAGCAAAACACAATAATAGTGCTTTCCCTTTTCTTCTTCTTCTTCCTCCAGCTCCAAAGCCTTCAACTTTCAGCTCCCAAAACCCAAATCCCACACACAAAGACCATGCTGCTTCAGCCCTTTAAATCGTAGAAAATGTCTCAGGGGTTGGGTATGGAAGCCATCGAAATCGGCCAGACGGTGACGTTTCTCTGGTTCTCAGGCCGTAGTACAGAGATCGGCTTCAACCCGGCTGGGTGTATAGGGAATCGTTCCACTAACTGAGTCCACTGACTCAGTAACTCGTCCTTCGTCGGTAAACGCTTTTTGGGTAGTGGTCTTTTGGGGAGCGGATCGGTTGTGTTTGCTGATCTCGAAAGATTTGTACAGCTTCTTTGTGTTCGGTGCTAACTCCGTTCCAGCTAAGGATAGTGCTTTCCCTTGTTGGTTTATCTCTATCCTCGAAAAGTTTATTTATTTCTAAGTATTTAGTCATCGAGTTCTGCAAGTTAGCACATTTGGTTGAGACCCAGTTGCCGTTTTGGTGCTCTGAGGGTTTGGGAATTGGTTTGGATTTCTGGGTTTGGTGTAATTTTCTGTGGTTTGGAAGTGGTTTCTGAGCTGAGAATTTGGAAATGGCTATGTCCTGCAAGGATGGTAATAAGCATGCATTGGATAATGGCAAGTATGTGAGGTACACACCTGAGCAGGTTGAAGCCCTCGAGAGGCTTTATCATGATTGCCCCAAACCCAGTTCGATTCGCCGCCAACAGCTTATTCGGGAGTGCCCGATTCTCTCCAACATCGAACCGAAACAGATTAAGGTCTGGTTCCAGAACAGAAGGTAAACAAAGATTGGATCTTGAATGCTAGTTCATGGTTTTGATTCTTAAGGTTTGTAATCAGTTGGAATTTACATATAATAATGTTCTGGATTATGGTTTCATGAGGTTTGGTTTCCTTATTTATGCGAAGTTAGTTGTTCAAAAATCTTAATTACATTGCATTTAATGTGTTTCCTGAGGAAGGAAATTAATTTTGTGGCTTGGGTTTTACAGATGTAGAGAGAAGCAGAGGAAAGAGGCTTCACGCCTCCAAGCTGTCAACAGGAAGCTCAGTGCTATGAATAAGCTACTAATGGAGGAAAATGATAGGTTGCAGAAGCAGGTGTCTCACTTGGTGTATGAAAATGGTTACTTCCGTCAGCATACCCAGGGGGTGAGAATTCATTAACCATTCCAAACCCTTTTTGGGTGTTGATTAGTAGTGGGCGGCTGGTCTGTCCCTCTGAAATCTTAACATTCTCGTTTAGAATCTTAGAATAGCTAAATTCATTAGCCATTCAAAACCCAGGATTAATTTTTTGCCTTTAAAGAACAATTAGTGAGCAACTTGAGATACTCAAATGCGTATTGTTCAGATGTGGGTTAGGCCAGTTGGCTGAACGGTCTCCTTATACTTAAGTTCGAGTACCTCTCTGTGTAAATTAGAGTAGTTTAGATTAACACTTTACAAACAAAAATGCCCTGAATTATAATTTTTATTTTTGTTATTTCTGAACTTATGGGGTAAGTGACATTTAAATGTTGTTTATTTTTCTTACAGACAACGCTTGCAACCAAAGACACGAGTTGTGAATCAGTGGTGACGAGTGGCCAACACCATTTGACACCTCAGCATCCGCCAAGGGATGCAAGTCCTGCAGGGTTAGTAACTAAGTAGTGGGATGTAGTTGTTAAATCCTTTTCAGTTCATTGGGCTTTCTGACAGGAGCTTTTGTTGTTTTGTGTTTTGTGGCTTATGGCTTCGTGCTTTGTTTGTTTGTGTTTGCTAGACTTTTGTCCATTGCAGAAGAAACTTTAGCAGAGTTTCTTTCAAAGGCAACTGGAACTGCTGTTGAGTGGGTCCAAATGCCTGGAATGAAGGTATTTCTCTTTCTATACTTTTTTTAAGTATTCGTATACGTATTTGATTGACTGAGGAAGAAATGCCTGAACAATGTGACAATGGAATTATTATTCTGAACATTGACATTTCAGTGATCTGAAATTAAATCAGAAATAAAAATTGTACCTCTTGAGATGATGTAATTGAATTGTTATAAATATGGAAAAGTACTTTTTGAGATGGTGTTTGTTGCGCTCTTGAATGCCGTTTATTTACCATGACTTCCATTTCTTCTTTGTGGTTTTGTGGAATGCTGTAATATGCAAATTTTTATTTATATATTGTGTTTCAAAAGGGGATACCTGCCCTTTTAATATGTTTCTCTTCCTGATGTTCTCAGCCTGGTCCGGATTCCATTGGAATCGTTGCTATTTCTCATGGTTGCACTGGAGTGGCAGCACGAGCCTGCGGCCTGGTGGGTCTAGAGCCTACCAGGGTAAGTAATCACAATTTGTTTGAGTCTGTTTTCTTCTTATTTCAGCTTAAGAGAATTTATGATTAACTAATGAATATATTATGTGGCTAGGTTGCGGAGATCCTCAAAGATCTGCCGTCGTGGTTGCGTGATTGCCGCGCTGTAGATGTTTTAAATGTATTGCCTACAGCTAACGGTGGAACCATTGAGCTGCTCTACATGCAGGTAGGCTTTACTTCCATCTAAAGTTAGAGCATTGTTTTATCAATTTTGTTTATTATTAGTAATTTCTTAAATTTTCTGATATAGCTATATGCGCCGACAACTTTGGCGCCTGCTTGCGATTTCTGGCTACTGCGCTATACGTCTGTTTTAGAGGATGGCAGCCTTGTGGTATGCTGTCACAGAAGTTATGAAATTTGATTCGTATTGCCAAATAACTATCAAGTTGATTGAGCAATTTTAATACCTTGCGCAGCACACAAGTAAACATACATCTTCACTTACTGGTTTAACTCAAGTTGTTCTCACTATGTTTACAATGCTCAGGTATGTGCGAGATCTCTGAAAAACACTCAGAATGGTCCAACCATGCCTCCAGTGCAGCACTTTGTCAGAGCAGAAATGCTGCCTAGTGGATACCTTATACGACCCTGTGAAGGGGGTGGCTCGATTATACATATCGTTGATCATATGGATTTAGAGGTTAGAAAGTTATATGTCAAGTGTAATGGGTTAATCTTCTTTAATTCATTCTTGTTCTGATACATCTGTTAAGAAACGAATTATAACTCTACATTTGTTTCATCAACTAGCCTTGTAGCGTGCCTGAAGTCCTGCGCCCATTGTATGAATCATCTGCTGTTCTTGCTCAAAAGATGACAATGGCGGTAAGATTACTACATATGGTGGATATTTTGACATTGTTTGTAGGGGTCAAAACGAACAAAGCTGCATGTTAATCTGTCACACAAGCATGCTGTGAAGGTCAAAGAGGAGAGGTTAAGTTTTAATTAGTCTTTCTTACTTTGGTTCAGGCTTTACGTCAGCTGAGACAGATAGCGCATGAGGTTTCTCAATCTAATGTCACAGGTTGGGGAAGACGACCTGCAGCTTTACGAGCATTAAGCCAGAGGCTTAGCAGGTTAGTATATTTTGGTGGTTTTAGTAAATATCTTTCTGTCAGAGAAGGGTTCTTTGTTTCTTGGAAGCTAATGGAGTTTTCTGCCAGGGGTTTTAATGATGCACTTAATGGATTTACCGATGAGGGTTGGTCCATGATGGGAAATGATGGCATGGATGATGTTACTATCCTCATAAACTCGTCTCCTGACAAGCTGATGGGCTTAAACCTGTCCTTTGGTAATGGATTCCCAGCTGTCAGTAATTCTGTCTTATGTGCTAAAGCATCCATGCTGTTACAGGTCAGGGTGCTTTCCATCTTTCATTTCAATCAACTGGAGATTAGCAATAAAACACTAAGATATGCATGCATGTTATTTTTGTAAATTATGTATGTGGTAACCTAATGGACAATGACTGGAAAATTTAATGTCGAGCCTATCTTCTAACCTTTCCTGTTTTGCTGTGTACTATTTTTTTCCAGAATGTGCCCCCTGCTATCCTTCTTCGGTTCCTGCGCGAGCACAGATCAGAATGGGCAGACAACAATATTGATGCTTACTCAGCTGCAGCTGTTAAAGTCGGTCCTTGTAGCTTAGCTGGGTCTCGAGTTGGTAGTTTTGGAGGTCAAGTTATACTCCCTCTGGCTCACACTCTTGAGCATGAAGAGGTAAGCAAGTTGGTATCAAGGAACTTACTGCATTTAAAATGTTTTCTTCTACAATGGTAATACACTGCTTCAATTTTTCTTTTCATTGTTTAATATGTTTCTTTTCTGTGCTTATTAGTTCTTGGAAGTCATTAAATTGGAAGGCGTTGGCCATTCTCCTGAAGATGCAATGATGCCAAGAGAAATGTTTCTCTTGCAAGTAAGCATCAGTTATTCTTGTTGTGTTAATGATGGTACTTATTCATGAGAATGCTTGTCTAGGGTTGGTGTCGTGTAGCTTAACTGGTACTGTCAAAGCCTAATAAGATAAACTAATACTTAATCTGAATTTATTTCCTTCTTGAAAATAATAGGTGTGTCTTGCGTTTAGCTTTATACCTCTTCCTGCAATCGGGAATGTTAGGGATAATGTTCGTTTATGATTCCTTTATTTTCTTTTTTAATCTTAAACATGTTCAGTGCCTTACAAAATATCCTATGAATCTGTAATAGAGTATTATCGGGAAAAAAAGCCATGAGAATTTGCGATTTTGTTTTTTTATTTTGTTTTGGAGAGATGGTGAGTTCTTAAATTACCAAGGGAAAAGCAGAAAACATGGACAAAACGATATGGATAAGAAGTAATATCCAGTTTCTATTTAATTTCTTTTATCGTCTTGAATATTCAGTTTATTCGATGTTTATTTTCTGACTTGTTATTCTGCTTAAATTCCATGGCTGTGTTTTTTAATAGCTATGCAGTGGAATGGACGAGAATGCTGTGGGTTCCTGTGCTGAACTCATTTTTGCTCCAATTGATGCTTCTTTTGCTGATGATGCACCCCTTCTACCTTCTGGGTTTCGCATCATTCCTCTTGATTATGGGAAGGTTAGCCTCTAAACTAAATCCCATTCCCAAGTGATGTTATAGGACAGAATTTATGTCTTTATAGGAAATGTTCATTAGTGCGCTGAAAAACGTTTCAGGAAGCTTCCAGTCCAAATCGCACCTTGGACCTTGCATCTGCTCTTGAAATTGGGCCAACTGGAAATAAAGGATCTAGTGAATATTCTGCAAGTGCTGGTTGTGTGAGATCTGTCATGACTATAGCATTTGAATTTGCTTGTGAGACCCACATGCAAGAGCATGTAGCATCCATGGCCCGACAATATGTTCGCAGCATTATATCTTCAGTTCAGAGGGTGGCATTAGCTCTCTCTCCTTCAAATTTGAGTTCACAGGCTGGTCTTCGGTCACCACTTGGTACTCCTGAAGCGCAAACACTTGCTCGTTGGATCTGCAACAGTTACAGGTCTTGTAACTCTCTCTCTCTCTCCCTCTCTCCCCTTCATTTTATTTGGACCGAGATATATGGTGCACTGTGCAACAATTAAAAATGGGCTTTTCCCTACACACCCGCACCATATTGTTATATATTCTTTCTTCTGTTGCAATGAATGTTACAAGTTGTAATAAGAAACTTTGATCAGTGTAACCATGTGATGATCATATAGGTGGCTTAGCTGCTAATACTATTGATATTGCAGGTGCTATCTGGGTGTGGAGCTGCTCAAATCGGGCAATGAAGGAAGTGAATCCATCCTCAAATCTTTGTGGCATCACTCCGATGCAATTATGTGCTGCTCTCTGAAGGTGAGCATATTACTCTTAACCTTGAAAAAACACCCAATACAACACTCAATGAAGGTGCATCGTTCTTTGAGTTACTCTCTTGCCTACTTATCTTAAGCAAATATACTATGGAACTCCAATTTTTCAGGCATTGCCAGTTTTCACCTTTGCAAACCAGGCAGGGCTTGACATGCTGGAGACCACCTTGGTTGCGCTGCAAGACATAACTTTGGAGAAGATATTTGATGACCATGGACGAAAGACTCTGTGCTCGGAATTCCCCCAAATAATGCAACAGGTGTAGTAAAACATCTCTGAATTGTATAATTTTTTTTTCATGTCATTTTTACCTAACGTGCTAAAGACGAGCTATGGTTCAAACATCACGAGAGATTTTTCATTGTGACTAGAACACGGGATGGTACATCACGTCTTACTATACAAATGCTGAGATGTGTGTTCAAAAGTTAATAACTTAAAAAATACAATTTCTCACCACTTATATCAAAACACGTGTACCATCCGTGTTTCGATCAGAATGAAAAATTTCTCCAACATCACAAACTCCTGTTGGAATCCATGTAGATCGAATTGCTAAAACACGATAACCAATAGAGTTGTAAACTTTGTATTGATTTCTTCGTGCTATTTTTGTAGGGTTTCACTTGTCTTCAAGGTGGCATCTGTCTTTCGAGCATGGGGCGACCAGTGTCATATGAGAGAGCAGTGGCGTGGAAGGTGTTGAACGAAGAGGAGACGGCTCACTGCATGTGTTTCTTGTTTGTAAACTGGTCTTTCGTCTGATATCAGGACCAGGTCACTAAGACTAGAAGATATAATGTAATAGGCTTGAAAAGAGGAAGACTTTGAACCTTTCATGTTTAAACCATCTCCTGTCCTTTTGGTGTGATTAAAAATGTTGTATGGATGTTAAGACTTAAGTTGTGTTAGCTTGTTGCGTACCCTATAAATGCTTTGGATCTGTCCTGTTTTACGGTTTTTACTTTTCGGGTGGTTTTGGATGGGAAGATTGCGAGGGGTACCTACACGCAAGTCTGGCTCGAGGTTGTGAGTATGCCTGTGTGGTGAGAGTAACTAATCTTCGGTACATTTTCATAACCAAAACCTAGACCGGAGACCCTTTGGTTACACCAGCATTTGTTTGTATGGAGTATTGGATTTAGGCGTGTTAATATTAACCTCCCACAAAAAAAAAGGAGGATTGCATGCTATTATCGAACCATATTGGTATGTTAGGAAAGAAAAATGAGGATTGCACGATGATTAGGACCGTCATACTTTCACATTTTAAAAGTCAAGTTTTTTAAAATTTAATTAAATAAAAATTGTTTAACAGTTATCACAATTTTAGTGTTTAATTGAATAACTATTTTGGTGTTGGCCACCTGAAATAACCCTATATATTTTTCTCGTTAGATTTTAGAAAGTTATAATAAATAAAAAAAGACAATTATTATTAAGACCTCAATTTCTGATATTTGGTTCGTCCATCGTCCAATTCAGTTACAACAATGGAGGATGGGGTGCCATTCTCGCTGATGTGTATGCTCGTAAGGTACTTCATCAAATTTGTTCTCATCATCTCTTTTAAAGTATTACTTATAGTTATGTGGCAAGACTTGATTTGTTGGTCTTTAGGTCTTAGGAGGTCATTTTACATAAGGATAAATTTATCGTTCCCAAGTGGATGAGAAAATAAGATAATGAGGTGGGCTTATCAGCACTCGAATAAATTTATGGACAAAAATAAGTATGGGTTTGCAAAAAGAGAAAAGTGATGCCGGAAATCATTTTCCCATAACATACCTCTTTTTACCTTCTACACATCATTGTTAAGTTTTATCCATTGATCTTCTTCAATTCATTTAGTTCAATAGGCGAAAATTGAGAGGGGTGTGAAAAGTAAAAATGTGTGGATAACATAATCCTACAAAAATAGTAAAATTTCAAAACTTACAAAATGATACTAATTTGACCAAAACATTTTACAGGAAAAAGAAGTTTCACAAGTGATCAATGGAACCGCTTTCATTCAAACTAATCTTGTTGAAGCACTGAAAACTGTACAACTCAAACCATAGTGGCTAGAAGAATATAACACACGAAATTATTAATGAAAACCGCACGTGCACACACACACATATGGTTCCGATACATATATCTGGACTGAAAATTACATATATCAAAGACTTGAGGTTGGATTCAAAGCGAGGATCGAAAAGGTAGTAGCTCTTCACAAAAAATAACAACTAAGCCTTCTTATTTATACTCAAATACCAAATAAGCACGTTCGGTTAAAGAAAAAGAAAAATGAAACCGTAGAGGAAAACGGCAGTGATGGGCATTTAGTACTAATTAATTAACCCCAAAACCCCATAGGTTATCATAAGTACGTGCATGGTGTGAAGTGAAAAATATATGACCAGCGAAAGAAAACCCTAGAGGGTGACTGCAAGAGGGAGCATTGGAAAGCCCAAGGATAGCTAGGAGGGATTGGACTAACCCAAAAAACCAAGAAGGAAAAGGTCGGTCCATTAAATAAGTTTATTTAGAGGGAAGCTTTAGTACTAGTTAATGATTAGCGTATAAAAAGGGGAGAGCAGGTTGACAAATACAAAACCATGTCCCCCAGATCATGATCAGATATTATATGCCTTAGCTAGCCTTTTAGAAACTCATCATCAAGCCATGGTGAGATCGTTCATCTCCCTCGTGATCGCTGGAATGCAGCTTGAACTCCGAGTAATCTTCCCCTTTGGCTCTCCTTTGTCTCTCGGATTAAACGACTTAGCCCTCATGACTCTCCCCTCCAACTTGCTCTTCTTCAACATCTCCCTCATAGCCTCAGCTTGAAACAACACTGGATACGCCCTAGTATACTTGTTAAACCTAACACATGCACTTATATGTGAATTTAAAGCCTCTTCCTTATTTCCTCCATTTTTCTCCACCTCTTCTTTCACTGCCTCAGAACACAACCCGCATATCCACTTCCCAAAGAACTTGTCTCTCACTCGGTCTATGTACTCGGGCGTGTACTCTTCACTCATGCCACAGCATTCACACTTTGCATCTTCAACCTCCGATATTGGCGGGAGGGATTTCAGGTCCTGATCAATGTCGGCTTCTTTGCTTAGCTCATACGAGATGTCGGACATCGTTCTTTTCAGGCTATCGGATGAGAATGAAAGCCTTGGTGGCTTAGACATGGAGGTGTTGTTGGCCCTAGAGTAGTTAGAGCCAGAAATAGACTCTCCATGAGGTGCCATGTTTGAAAATTTGGAAAATACAAAAAACCCTAACGTAGAACTCAAGCTAATTGGATTGGGTGACAATGGGAAGCAAGAGTTAATTAACTTGGCCAAACTCTGAAGATTGTCGCATGGTAGTAGAAGGAGGTCTATAGTAAGCCTATTTATAGTAATCACTTCGGCCTTTACTGGAAATCTACAGCCATTATTTATTTGAATGGATCTTGTTCATTCATATGTCACTTATCAACGGAAGGGCTGAATAGTTTCGTGACCGTGCTAGAGATTTCAAGAAAGTTTTGAAAGAAAAGGAAATATGTTTTGCTTTTTTAGGTTTGAATAAATGCCAGCTGAAATTTGTTACACAACTTTTCATGGGGTTTCTAAATATTTTCCCAATGGATCATGTGGAGGAGGATGTTTTAGCTTCATGAAAAGGTCTTACATCTATTTTTCTTTTGAAGGATATAATATGAAAGGCCATGGCACATCCTATAGCCCATGACTATATATGTTTTGTTATTGGAGAAGGCCTATTGACGCTCCGGTTTGAAGATGTGACTACGGGATAGAGGTTCAGGGCCGAAGGGGTAGAGGAAGACCTAGGAAAACTTTGGAAGAGACCCTAAGAAAAGACTTAGAGTACTTGGATCTAACGGAGGACATGACACAGAACCGAGCGCAATGACATTTTAGGATTCATATAGCCGACCCACTTAGTGGGAAAATGCTTTGTTGTTGTTATTTGTATTCAAGATCTCAATTAATAAAAGAAATATTAAACATTTATTAATTAAGTGGGAATGCCATACGTTAATCTTTTGTTTTGTCATAAAAAAAATATAAATTCACATTTAAACTGTCTTTACTTGATAAAATCAAAGTTATGTATTGAAAGCATTACTATATATCAAAGTAATAGCAACAGAAAGTATAAAAAACTATATGCTTTATATGTAAAACTAGAGCAAAACACCGATGAACTGGTGCGAAACACGCATCAAATTAATATGAACATGAAAAGAAACTCATATTGACCTTTTATAATTTGATAACTTCCATTATATATTTACATGTTATTTCTTCTGAAAATGAAAAAAGTGAGACGTACGCAGCCTTTTCAGGATGTACAAAAGGGTTCTAAAAGAGAAGCATTGTTTGGTTTCTGGCTTGACAACCATTGTCCTTTGCTTTCAACAATTATTTGTCCTTGTAAAAAGCTGAAAGTTGCATATTCACGAGTGAGCCTACTCAAACCGTATACACATCACGTATGGTCCCTATATCTTCAACTATACTAGCAGCATACAAGGCCAACATGAAAGAAAATGACTGCCTTGCTCACTCATGGGTTCTCTCCCACAGCCACAAGTCTAATTTCACGAGCAGTTAAATCAATCATATCCCTATATGCATGAGAGAGAGAGAGAGAGAGAGAGAGAGAGAGAGAGAGAGAGAGAGAGAGAGTAGGGTGGTGTATGTGAGATTATGGTATATGACAAACCTAAATCATGAACCAAATCAACAGTCTTAAGCTCACAGGTAAAATGGCTGCTTTAAGTATGTGGGTTTCATTGGTAGATCGCAATAAGAACGTAGATTCTCCGTTTTCTTAAACATTTTCTAATTCTTAACTTGTACAGTACAATATAAATCAAACACTTTTGTCTAATAAAATTCACGAAACAAAAGTTAACCTATAGATTTGTAATTCAAAACTCTAATAAACCTCTAACTTTTGATGGATCTGGCTGAGTAGATGTTGGTACTTGTAAACCCACGTTTGGCGCAAAGTCTTCGGATAAATAGATCAGGATATTGGATGAAACAGTTATCGTGTGATTGGAAATGCAAAATTATATCTTACGGGAACTGAGTTTTGCACTATTTTTGACATTTGAATTGAACAAGTCGAAAGAGAATTTGTGGATAAAAAAATAAACAAGAGTGTGAAAATTATTTTCTATCTTTATTTTTAACTAAGTTGAAACTGGCTTGGTGAGGTGATTTCGAGTAATTAAGCAACAGTCTTTCTCTCCTGCGCATCACCCACATTCGCATAGATTGCTCATCATCAACTTAATTAAATCTCAGCCTTCTATTTTTTCAAGTGAAAACAAGTAACTGTGATTTGACCAAGTTGATGCGCAACCCATGCGGAGGAGAGAAACTCTGCATTGTGCTATGCTATATTGCTGCAGTGCCATATTCCTTTCCCCAACATTGCCGCATAACCAATAAACCCAATTAGCATCCAATGGCCAAAACCCAAAGGCAAACAGAGATAGAAGGCCCAGAGATGTAGAAGGCCTAGCCCACATTGGGAAGTAAAGTCACCTTCTTTATATTCATTGTTGGGCCCAAAAAACGCACATGCAAAACCAATTACATCTCAAAGTTTGATTGTCGTAAAAACACCTCAAACCAAGTTTAAATACATGCAAAGGTGCAAGATTGAGAAGAAAAGATATTTACAATCACGACATAAATTGGCGACTTCATGAATCAATGGCTCCAAGTTCCAGAAGAAACGCTACCAGGAATGACAATGCCTCGGAAGAGGTAGGCGAGTCTGCTTTCCGGTTGAACGAGTCCCAATGCGAAGAACAACATTAGGAAAGCTAGGAAAAGTTGGACGCGTACGCCATGCCAGATATCATCGCTCCCATTCACGATATGGGAGAAGCCCAAAAAGAAATCGTATCATTTGTGAAAGAGTTGAAAAACTCAATCCCGATGTCAAGTGAAAAGATGAGTGAGAAGCATTACGCACACAGAGAAAATATTCCCAAGAAGAATCAACCGTTGTTGTGAGGAAGGGTTATGAGAAAGAACCATCCTTTGTCACTTATGAAGATGTCACTGCTATGTTGGAGAAAGAGTTGCATGTTTTTGAGCTGCCATACCCTAAGGGTTATCAAACCTTTAACTTTGTCCTCTTTGACAGAAGGAAGGGCATCCCTAATGAGCTTATAAGTCATTTCATCGACGTTTTGGGTCTTCATGCCCGCAATTATAACCCTTGTCTAAAGAGTTCTCGAAAAGCCTTTTTGACTGTGCCTACACTTGGTATACTACACACGCGTTGGGATCCATTCGAACTTGGGAAGAGTTGACAAGTAAGTTCTTCCAACACGAAGATAGGGTCACCATAAACCAACTCAACAACACAACCTGAAGCATGAGAAAGACCCTATGACTTTTGTTAAATGCTTCTGGGACCTTGCCCTTGAATGCTACGATGAAAAGGATGAGGAGACGTTTATGGAAATTTACATCAGCAACATTGTCACAAATTATAGAGTGTATTTGGAGAATGTTGGTATTAGCCAATTCTTTAGGATCCTAGAAGTAGTGAGGAATATCAGAATGTCGGTCAAGTTTTCCATGGGAAGGTCTTAGAAAGGTGAAAAGAATAAAGCTCACCAAGCCTTGGTTATGGACGACAGGTCCGATTACAATCAGCAAAAGAGTAAGGAAAATAACGAAAATAAGGAAACATATCCTCCACTATCATGCAGTGACGAGGAATTCCATGCTATCCTTGACACCATGTTCACAAACAAAGTCATCAAGCCGCCCAGACATTCTAAAGTTCCTTCTAGGGAAGATAGGAAAGACCCCATATATTTTCCATACCATCAACATGTGGGACACCCTTCCATTACATGTTAAACCCTGAGATGTATCCTCCATGCAAAAATTTATGACAGAACACTAGAGATGCCATGTAAGAAGCAAGCCATCGATACTGACCCTTTGCTGAAACACCGAGGGAAAAATGTGGTAATTGGGATAACATGCTCCAAGGACGATGATGTTTATCGTCCATAGAATAACGGCCTAAGCCATATGAGGCCATTTGAGAGCCTTATGCGAATAGGGAAAAAGCTTACTGGTGCAAGTACTCATAGCCTTGGAGTTACGACACGCCATGGCCCCAAGCCGAAGGATGAGAGACGAAGGAAATAACCTTATGGACTTTGACCTAGGTTTTGTGACGAGGCCTTTGCCATCGAAATGCTAGAATAATACGTTACAGGAACCTCATGAGGACAACAAATCAACCAGAAAATTGCAGTTGTGACTTTGCACAACCTTTCTAATGCGAAAACAGAAGCGGTTGAGCGTTACCTTGCCCATAACCAAAGACCTACCGCACCGTAAGTCCTCCAAAGGAACCCAAACCTAACAATATGCAAGAAGACTTTGTCGATCCAAGGTGGAAAACATCAAAGGAACAAGAGATGAAGTCTTTCAACAAAAATGAGATGGGTTTACAAGATGAAATATTATTCTGATAGGTTTAACCTAGGTAAAAAACCTAATGGTGCCGATGGGTTTACACGGTGCAATATAATGCTGATGGATTGATCGAAAGATACAAAGCAAGACTTATGGAAAAAAAGGATATGCTCAGACATATGAAATTGATTATGACGAGTCATTAGCTCCAATAACAAAACTTAATATCAATAGAGTTCTCATCACTGGTAGCAAATCTCGACTGACTATTACACCAGTTTGATGTAAAGATTGCATTTATGTATGGAGAAATAACTAAAGAAGTGTACATACAGCTCATGCTTGGTTCGAACAGGCCGACTGAACATTGGATTAAAGTTTGTTAATTGAAGAAATCATTGTATGGTCTCAAACAGTTGCCAAAAGCATGGTTTGAGCGATTCAAAAATTCTATGAGAGGCTTTGGTTACAAACAAAGTAGTTACGATCATACTTTGTTCCTAAAGAAGAAGATATGTAAGATTACGGTACTCATTGTCTATGTGGATGATATAGTAGTAATTGGTGATGATCTTGAGGATCGACAAGTATTGCAAAGTTATTTGGCACGCAAATTTGAGATGAATGATCTTGGTCTACTAAAGTATTTCTTAGGTATTGCAGTGGCCCGTTCGAAGAATGGTTTCTTTCTATTACAGATAATATGCTCTTGATTTATTACATGAGGCTGGAATTTCAGCCTGTCTGCCAGTTGATATGCCATTGGAAGAAGGTTAAATTTGTGGTATGATCTGGTTGGGAGGAAGATTGATGTATCTGGCGCGTACGCCGCTAGACTTGCCTTATGTTTTAAGTGCGGTAAGCTAGTTTATACACGAT